CCGCAAATGCTTTTAATGGAAAAACTTTTCCGTTAAAAGCATTTGCGGAAAATCATGCCAGTCTAGACGTAGCCAATGTGTTATGGGAGTGTCGGGGATCACTAGGGGGTATTTGCATGGCTTGCTTGATCCATAAGAACATAAGAATGGGGTACTGGGTTAGACCAAAGGTCCATCTAGCCCAGTAACCTGTCTGCCGACAGTGGCCAGCACCAGGTGCCCCAGAGGGGTGGACCGAAGACAACGATCAAGCGATTTGTCTCGTGCCATCCATCTCCAGCCTCTGACAAACAGAGGCCAGGGACACCTTTTCTATCCCCTGGCTAATAGCTTTTTATGGACATAACCTCCATGAAATTATCTAGCTTCTCTTTAAACTCTGTTATAGTCCTAGCCTTCACAGCCTCTTCTGGCAAGGAGTTCCACAGGTTGACTACACGCTGTGTGAAGAAGAACAAGTCCATGTTGTTTCATCCAGGTCCATGTTGCATGAAAAGTGACATTAAAAGGCATGTGAACCCAGCACTCTGTTTGTCACTCCGGGTGGAATAAAATTAGCAAACAAAACTAAAGATGGCCCAGAGCCTAAGCTGCTTCAAACAGGCATGGTTTCTCCCAACTGTAGTGCGGCTCTATCAACTTACACCAGCTGAAGAGTCTGGCTCCGGGATGATCTTTTTTGCATTTCACATAGGCAGCTTGATAATTACAGGGCCACCCTGACTTCTCGCCTGTCATGAGAGCTACCTTCTTCACGCCCCCCATTCCCGTCCCACGATGAGTGGGAGGGAAAAGGAGGCAGATTTGTAGTTCGCAATCAGGAGATGAAAATTACCCAGTGGAAGAAAAGAATTAAAAAAAAAAAGCCCTACAATTAGGTGGCTGGATATTAATGCTGTGCAAAGTGATTTATAGTCTCTGCACTCCTGTTCAAAGTAATTTGTATTTAAATGAGAATAAAAAGGAAAGTGATGCGACTCACTTTCCCAAATGTTCCCTCTCCCCTACCTCTGCCCTTCTTGACTGTGACAGATCTGCGGCACAGAGCGACTTCCTGGTTGTGCTCTGAATCAGCCAAGCCAAGCTTGTTTGGCATGAAGTAGCGCCTTGATGTTAGCTGGAGGCGATGTAACCCTCAGGAGTGCTCCCAGCCAGTGTGAGTTCTCTCGTGCTCTGTCTGCAGTGCCTGCATGAAAGTGCTCAGGTTTAAGGCAGGAGGCACTGATCAGTTTCCATTATTGGTGTTGGTGCCAGAGCTACCATGAGGTGCCCTTCTCCCTCCTCCTGCCTATGTCAAAGAGGTGGAGGGATCCAAATACTGCAATGAATGTGTTGTTTTCTGTTAAATCCCTCCCCCTGCTAATAGACCCATTCTGAAAAGTACAAAAGGAAAACATCTTGGCGACCCAGTACTGTCTGTATAAGGCAGGTACATGTGCAAGGAAACTGACCAAGACATAGGTCATGGAAAGCATAACCATTCCTAATGGGTTATGTAGGCTGTCCTGGAAGGACCAAGACAAACTTGCCATTGTTTGGCCATCAAGAGTCTAAGGGTATGTCTACACTACCCCGCTAGTTCGAACTAGCGGGGGTAATGTAGTCATCCGCAGTTGCAAATGAAGCCCGGGAAATTCAAATCCCGGGCTTCATTTGCAACTGCGGATGACTACATTACCCCCGCTAGTTCGAACTAGCGGGGTAGTGTAGACATACCCTACATGAGAACTCATTTGCTGAATTGTAACTGTGGAGTAAGGGGAAGATTTTATTACAGCTCCTCCAGATTCGTGCCAGCATCATCGACCGAGCTCCAGAAGCAAATCTGAATCATTGAACATCTTCTGAATAACCAGATTCAGAAATGGGCTCCCAGATCAACTTTCTAGTGCTTCCCATTTCTGTTTGGGTCACAGATGCCATGTGGCATTGCTTATTACAAAGAAAAAGTCTGCCATTGCCTGGAAATGGGTGACAGGAGAGGGATCACATAAGGATTACTTGTTGTTCCCTCCCTCTGGGGCATCTAGTACTGGCCACTGTCGGCACACAGGATACTGGGCTAGATGGACCTTTGGTATCAGCCAGTCTGGCTGTACTTATGTAAAGACGACTGTAATTTGTACTGCACCTTGCACAAAACGGTTCTATAATTGATAACTATAAGCAATAGCTCCCAGATAGGAATCAGGAAGTGTAGAAATGCCGGAATGTTAAAAATACATTAAAAAAACCTTTCATCTCGGGATTTTGTGCCTAGTGTTAGGCATGCCTTGGTCCATACTGCATCAGAACAGATTCATCCATCTCTAATCATTACCCTTAATTAAAAAGTCCTTCCCTAAGCAGCATCTGATTGTGTGGGAAGAATTCAGATAAAAAAAACAACCCTCACTAGAATATCCCAAGGGAGAAATATTCAGCATTTAACTGGCAAGCTGCTGTTTGCATGGGTAGTTGCCCTGTTATTGGAATCCATCTATCTCAACAGCTGAATGCAACATTCTTTCTCTACTCTAGCAGCTTGATGTTTCCACAGTCAATTTTGAAATCTTCACCGGGGTTTCAACTGTTAGGCTATGTCTACACTGGGAAGGTTCAGTGACAAAAGTGTAAGTCGCCACATGTGAAAACTGGTTAAACCAGTTTTTCTGCCGCTCACTGTCGACATTTCAGGGCCACACCGACAGTTCCCCTGTTGACAGCCAGGGTAAAGCCACGTGGCTGAGAGTCCCACAGGGCAGTGTTGTGGAAAGGCAGAGCTGATCCCTGCGCTTCTTAGGATTCCCTTGAAGCTCTATGAGCTTTCTGTTCTGAGGAATGTCAAAACAGCACAGCTGCCTCTCCGGCCCTTCCTGTGTTCCTAGCAGGACAGAACAAGAGCCCTCCAATGATTTGATCTTTGCTTGTTCCCCAAGCAGAGCAGCTCTCTCAGCTGTCAGACACTTCCCAGAGCTTTGAAAGGGGTAGAGGACATGCCAACAGGGCAGCAGAGATCACAAAATACTGAACAGAGCCATCAGGGCAGGCATTGTGGGTACTTGCAGAAGCCAGTTCCGTCCACCAAAAAATAGCAGAGTCCACACTGGTTCTTTGTCGATAATAGAGGGAGGGGAAAAGACAAAAGTCCCTCTCAGGGGTGGAAGGTTTTGTTGCCAAAACTGGGTGTTTTTCCCGACCACCGTTGCACTGTAGTGTAAATGCTCTCATTGTTTTGTCACGAAACGGCAGCTTTTGGTGACAAAACATGCCAGTGTAGATAAGGCCTTACACTGAGCAGAAAAAAGAAGAGTGTGTTCTCTGGTTTGCCAGGGATAGGCCAGCTTCCAATGACTGAAGAGAGGGTAACTGGTTTTCAGTTTGACACTATATCCCGGGCAGGTCTCTCTGCTTCTGGCAGGAGATCCTAGGAAGAGAATCCAGGGGAGCGCTTCAGACTTGTTAACACTTACCTTTAAAATGGATCTTCTCAGCAATGGAAAGATGTCTTCGGTTATGACTACATTATGAGTGAGGGCATGGGTAGGCGAAGGGCTGGGGGAGGCGTGTCCTCAGCCCTGCCCCCACAGGAGCCAAGCCCCCTCTGTCCTGTGCACGGCCCCAGCCTCCCCGGCCCTGGAGCACAGGGAGGTGGATGCTCGGGGTCAGCACCACTCCACCCCACTACGCTTACAGTAGGCGTTCTGAGGATGGACTCTGGGTGGAGCCAGCCTGGAGGCTTGGGAAGGCAACGCTTTCCCCTGCCTTGCATACCCGCCGCCTCGAGTGAGGGATGTGATTCTCCTGCTTGCGTACACATATTACAAGTGCTGCCATCGAGCGAGCGTTGCAAGTAGAAATACCTCATAGCATGGAGTGTGGGGAGGAAGACAGCAGAGGCCTGGCTTAAGTATGCCGTGTACAACCCACCTGAAGCTGGCCCACTCCCCGCGACTCAGCCGTGTCCCTGCTGCCACAAACCTGGTGACTGCGGCTGGGCTGCTCTTTACCCTTGTGCTCAGCGGAACGTGGCACAGCCTCAGCCACCTGAGGGAAGGCCTCGCTGCTCTGTGCGGCAGCCATCTAGCAAAGGAGCTCCACTTTGCCCCATGCTGCAAACGTCCCTTGCAGCACTCTGCAGAGTGCCTTCGGGAGGGCCAGTTTTCGCTTGCCAGATATCTCCGCCCAGAGAGCCTGGAGATTCTGGGTGTCCCAAGCCCGCCACTGACGGAGCACAGAAGTCAACTCCCCCGGCGTGACTGGAACGACAGCAGCACCGATCTCGCCCAGCTTATCAGCTCACATTTATAATCCACTGGGACCAAAGGGGACTTGATCGCCCGGTAGGAGACAGAAAAGGCTACGGCTGCACTTGACTGGGGCAATGCATGTGAATCCGAAAGGAATAGGAATGGGAATGGTTAACTGGTGGGGGCCTGAGGCAGTTGCCCACTGACTGTGGGCAGGGGGTTGCTCCAGTCCCATAGGTCCCGCTGCAGGAGAGGGGCACTTCAGGCAGCTGGAGCAGCCCCTGTCTGCGGGGGCGCCGCAGGTGGGGGCTGCACCAGGTGTCCGAAGAAGTCCTGGTCTATGGCAGAGGGATTGCTCCAGCCTATTTGCCTACCCACCCTTTAATCAGCTAACCAATTAAACATTATATTGACCAATCGACGTAACGGGTTAACCAATTAAACGAGATATTGCATCCCTCGTAAGGAATGATCGTGCTTAATATGTAGCCTCAGTCCATTTCCAAGCAGACTGTCTTGGTGTGGAAATGGAATGAAAGGGCTAAGAGTCAGGGGATTCTCTTCGCACACTGAAAACCTCCAAGCTGGGCAATGCAGTGGCGCCATCGGAGCTGACAAAGATGAATCTTTCGATATTCGCCCATTCACCGAAGCTGCGTTTTCTCATGCTCTTTGCTCTAGAGTATCGTTGCTCAAGATAATTTCTTCCAGGGTTTCTCTCACAATCAACTGTGAAAAATCAGCCAAGCAGCCAGACAAAATGGCTCTTACCCTTCCACCCTTCTCTCCGTTGGCTCCTGGGAATCCTGGGAATCCGATTGAACCCTAGAGGGAAATAAAGGAGAGAAGAAGGTACAATGAGCTCAAATTGGCACTGGTCTGACCTACTATTTCAGAACGAGGGCTAGCTCTTCGGCTGGTGTAATCAGGTGTAGCCCCATCGACTACGATGGAGCTAAGTGGATTTATGCCAGATATGCATGTGCCTCTCGGCTTGCGCTATGCCCTGATCCAAATTCCTTTGCTGTTAATTGGAGATCTGCTTTCAACAGGGTTCAGATTGTGGCCTGTATGATCAGTAACTCGGTTTGCATTGGGATTAGACCATATGTCCCCTGATCCTTCCAGGTTAAAAGGCCTGTAGAGCAGCTACTATTGGAGACAGTGACAGATCCAAGTCACTTTTGAAAATATCACTAGGCATCTCTGTATATCTTGAGATGCCTCCGTGCATATAAAAATCTGCCCCCCCTTGCCTACATTCCTTTTGCAAACAATGCTCAAGCATCTGGAAAATGTTACCCCTCCTCTCTTCTTTTCCAATGCAACTGTATAGAGAGTAGGTGCTGCTGTTGGTTTCCGAATGTGTGTTGCTAAAAAATGCACACAAAAACAAACAAACCCAAAACACCCCAACAAAACCAAAAACCCACAACAAACACAAAATGCAAATTAAAGAAACAGGAAACCATCTTTTGTGGTTAATTATGTCTCCAGTGTCAAGCAAGCCTGGTTTTTCAAGCAACGAACATGAATAATAAAATATGATTCTTAGGGAAACAATGTTAACAAAAACGCAAGTTCCCAAAGCCTCCGGGGCACGATAAAACCAGGCTGCAGCTTTTATTCTATGATGAGGAATTCTCAGTTTTAATTTTGAAAAGAACATTTGACGACAGCGCAAATGAAGGTGGGCGTGTAGAGGAGATTCAGCGGATGCCTGCAATTCTGCAAATGGTTCTTTTATTTTAATTTCAAGGCAACTTTGCCTCATTAGTTATTCTCTTTAATTAATTAGTTAACTGTAGTTCAGAGCTTTGAAGATGTATGGCATAATATGGGAGCTAAGTTATATTATTATGACTAACCTAAAAGTGCATGAGCAGTTTGTGGATTTCTACATATCAAAGGGTTCCTGCGGAGCCCTACAGAGCGATGGCCCACAGTCTTTTCATTTTCCAGTCCTGTTCCAAATGCTTCACCCCCTATATTAACAGAGACCAATGTAATATCCCAATCCATCATTCAAGCTACATGAACTATTTACATCAGGTGAGGACCTGTCCCTTTTTATTTTACGTTTGTAAATTTCTCCCACAATTCCAATAATTTGCAAGATGCTCCCCAATGTCCTCTACTTTCTGGGGAAGGCTGTGCATGAAGATTTAAAAATATATGGCAAGACCTGCCTTTCCATTGCCTTGTACTTCATGTGGCCATTTAACCTGAGCAAAGGGATCTCGTTTGCACTCATTTGGTACCCCTTTCATTGACTACACAAGGTAATGGAGAATGAGGCCTGTACAGCTTGGGGCCTCTCATTTTACTCATGTGAACAGCCTCTAATGATTTCCTACTGGTTAAATACTTCGGATCAGTGGTTCTCAAGCAGGGGGATACATACCCCTGGCGATACACAAAGGTCTTCCAAGTGGCTGAATCAACTCATATAAATGTTTGCCTAGTTTTACAACAGGCTACATAATAAGCACTAGCAAAATCAGTACAGGTTGAACCCTCTCTAGTCCGGCACTCTCTGGTCCGGCAGCCTCCATGGTCCGGCATGATGTTAGTTACCTAGATAGCCACTTATTATGGGTCTGACCAAGTTTCCCATAATCCTACAAACTTTGTTTCCAGCCCCCAGTCCTGGCTCTCAGTGTTCTGTGTTGTTATTTAGCTCTAATTTACCCCTCAATGTCTTCTAAGAGCCCAGTAAGCAGTGGAAGTGTTGGTCATGCTTCTAGACAATATTGACCTCCCTTGATTCAGCAAATTCTCTGGTTCAGCACCAGTCAGGTGCTGGACTAGAGAGGTTCAACCTGTACAAACTAAAATATCATACAGATAATGACTTTTTTATATTTCTCTGTATATTACTGTAAGCCATCTGACTTAGTCCTGGGTCCCAGACCTATGTTCAGGCCTGTAAATAAATATCTACGGGTCCCCTTCAAACCCCGGGCCCTGAGTATAAAGTGGGCCAGGGAAACAAAGACCAACAAATAGCAGTTCCCCAGTTCGTAAGGCCAATGCCTGGGCTCAGGATGGGGCAGCAAAGCAAACACAGTCCCACAGTTAGTAAGGCCCTAGGCCCTGGTTCAGGGTGGGGAAGCAAAGTAAACGCAGTTCACAGATTACATAGGCCCCAGACCCTAGTGCAGTGGGCCACTGGCAAGAGAGAGGGGGAGACTGCCACCAGGTATGTGGGCTGATGGGACAGGCCATGTCTCACCTTATTCCACCGCGTCCCAGCCCAGGGCCCTAGCAGTGGCATCCCTGGCTGCCTAGGGTCAGCAGGGATCTGGCCCGCAACACGCTGACACCCTACAGTATGATGAGGTCAGACTAACGAGGTCAGCCGGACTATTGTCGGCCCCCTCCGTCAGGGTAAAAAGGATTTCCTCCTTGGTGCGGGGACAGTCCTCAGCCTCTGCAAGGTCCTCAGAGCCCTCCTGGTTAGGGAGCTCAGGGCAGGTCTCCGCTTCCTCTGGCAGACCGGGAGCCACAACTCGGGAGAGATTCCCCCCTGGTTAAATCAGTGGTGCTGGACCGATTTCATACAGGCAGAGATCTTGCCTTGTAGGCTGATAGTGATATGAAAGCAGAGTTCTTCCGATTTCATACAGGCAGAGATCTTGCCTCGCAGGCGGATAGTGATATGAAAGCAGAGTTCTTTCCATTTCCCACAACTTCTCACTGATGATATCGGCCGCATTTCTGGAGATGCATTTAACAATAAAACTTTTAAAATTACCTTTGGACCTTGCCTTCCTGGATAACCTGGGAGCCCTGGAACGCCGAGTTTTCCCTGTAATGCAATTAAAACACAGAATTGAGGGCCTATTTTGTGACCGTTTCACTACACCATCTTCAATGGCAATCTTGATTGTATATGTAGATTCAATAAAGGTTTGCATCATGCATTATGCAAAAGGAAACACACCAAGCTTAAAAGTAGGTCAGTCTTGAGAGGAGACCCTATGAATGCAGGGACACTGATGGTATTTAAGAGCAGTGGCACTGTCATCAAACCCTTTCTCCACTAGGAGAAGCCTGCAGTGTGGTTAGGAGATGATTCCTTTCACTCCCTCAAAGCAGTTCAGGAAATCGGGTTTTTTCTCCCGTGTGAAAAATATTTCAACAAAACCCCCCAAATTGATTTTACACAGAAAACTTGCCCTAATTCTTAATACTGTCAAGTCAGGGGGAACAATTACAATCAAAAACCTCAACATTCTCCTCTCAAACCATTTTTTCATAAAAAGTTTCGTTTGCAACAAAATCTCTCTTTTTTTTTTTTTTTTGACAGAACCTTGTGACCAGCTCCACTCTTATGGTATGGAATTACCTCAGTGGGTACATCTACACAGCAACATTATTTCGAAATAACTTAGTTCGCGTCTATACAGCCGGCAGTTATTTCGAAATAATGTCGAAATACTGTCAAGCTGGAGGACTTCTTACTCTGACTCCTGTAACCCTCATCGTACAAGGAGTACGGAAAGTCGGAGGAAGAGGGCTCCCTTTCGAAATAAGTGCTGTGTACACGCTCCCAATTGCGAAATAAACACGCAATTGATGTAGCTCAGTTTGCGTAGCTTATTTCGAGTTAAGCCCTGCAATGTAGACGTACTCAGTGTGATCCTAGATATGAGACAAAGTGGGTTTTAATCCACAAAAGCGTATGCCCTGTTCTAAATCTGTTAGTCTCTAAAGAGCCACAGGACTCCTCATTGCTTTTAGAGATGCAGACTAACACAGCAACTCCCATGAGGATGCTCAGTGGTTTGAGCATTGGCCTGCTAAACCCAGGGTTGTGAGTTCAATGCCTGAGGGGACCATCTGGGGCAAATTTGTCAGGGATGGTACTTGGTCCTGCTGTGAGGGCAGGGGACTGGACTTGATGACCTCTCAAGGTCCCTTTCTGTTCCATGAAATAGGTCTATGTGAATATGCCTCTGGGGCAAGTGCTTCTGTTTACACCAGAGATATCAAACAGCCCCACACCCCAATGTCTTCAGACAAAACACAGATCATCCCCAAAACCCATTGTACTCCCTATATCTCTGAAAGAAGTCTCAATCTCCAGACTCCTCCATCATCAACCCTCCCTCTGTAGACCAGAGATTATCCTGGGGAAACAGGTTGGTGCAGCCCCCTGTAAAACAGGGCCGGTCCTGGCCTTTCTAGTTGGCTTTGACTGGGCACTGAACTCCTGTTTTAGCATGGTTACCTTTTCCCCAGAAGGGCCAAGAGGACCTGGATCTCCATTTGGACCTCCACGACCTTTAGGGCCTTCGGGCCCATCCTCACCCCGTGGGCCGGGAGGACCAATTTCACCCTGTTGATCAAAAAAGGAAGTGACGATGAAGATGGCAGCTCATGCAGTCTTGTGCGTCAGGGCAAATCCCCAGACGCTGGCTGTAATGTACACACAGCTATGGTCCGGTTCATCCTGGTGTCACTAAAACAACTCGTGAAGAAGTAAAATCTTTACTTGGTCACCGCTCCGACCTGACTGTTGTGCAGTAAATTACAGAGTGTTGTTAAACCAGACGTGCTTTCTTCACTCACATCGCCCGGCTATTATTTCCCATCACAGAAGTCTTTCCCTGCACTCCAATTATTCTCTCTAACTCCAGCTCCCCTCCACTGAAATAGCTTTCATTAACTCTGCCTTCTAAGAACCTTTATTTCCACTTCCTGATCACCAACCTCAGGGTTTCTATGCAGGCAGCCCCAGGGAGGTGTTGCAATTTAGGGCCAATCTGAAAAGAAGCTGCAGAAGACTGGCATGAAAGTCTCCGTCTGGAAATGGCTGCAAAAGTCAGGCTATGGAACTGGCTTGGCTATTAGAATGAGCACTTCTGATCACCATTGTCCTCCAACCACTAAACAGAGACGTCATTGTCCCCTGATACAGTTACAATCGAAGTTTTCACAGTGGAAACACGCAGTCGGATTATTTTGCTTGCGAGTAACTCAGATAATAGCTTCCTATTTGTCTGCAAAATTCTCAGGTAGCACTCATCTGCAAGCAGCATGGTATGTATCGGAATAAGCAAATAAGGGACCTTGCTCGCAAGCGGGAGGGACTGTGTGAGGTGAAAGTGGCTCATGCCGACCTTAAGCGTGGTCTGCTGCCAGGTGAATTTCATCCTCAAAAAGAAGGAAGGTGGGTCTGGAGGAGCTTTACGGCATTAACCCAGGGTGATGCTGAGATGATGCACAGAATGCGGCTCGTGATGTGGCTCCGTGCTCATCATAAACACCAGGAGCGATGGAGGAGTTGCTTTGCATTTTCACAAGTCGCCAAACGAAGCACGAGTTTTTCTTTTAAATACGCCACAAAGTTCTGTTGCCTGTCTCACTCAGGGCTGGCTTTAGGACCGGGCAAACTGGGCCCATGTCCTGGGCACCCTCCGGTGAAGGGCAACTGGGCATGGGTGCTGCTGGGTGAAGCAGGTAGAGGATACTAGGCAGGATATGCTGGAAGTGCAGGGCTGGGGTTGGGGGCGCAAGGGGAAGGAAAGTGCAAAGGGTTGGGATGAAGGGGGCATTGTGAAGAGGGTTGGAGGAAAAGGCAGCACAATGGTAGAGAGCACAGGATGGAGGTGCAGGGGTTGGGGAGCCCCTGGGTGCAGGGGAAATGGGTGGTGTTATGCCCACAAGGACCAGGGGCACCAAAATTCGCCCAGGGCACCATTTTCCCTCCAGCAGGCCCTGATCTCACTCCCGTGTGCGTTCTCACCCAGTGCCTAAAACCTATTGAGGAAACACGAAGCTAAGATGTGCAGTATTGTTCCGAAGGGCATGGCAAGAATGGCTCCGTCCAGACACCGGCTGTGGCACGGTGAGGGTGGCACGCGAACAGAATGATTTCCTCGCTGGCAGATTCCTGCATAAGGGCGCGAAGCAGCTGCTGCCTGAATCTTTGCGTTGGTTTGGGCTGCTGATCCTAAACGCTTTTGATGCCAGGCAATGTGCCCTGCTGCTAAAGATACGTGCCTAATATGAAACTAGGCCCCGGGTGGTTTTCATTGCCCCGTTCTGACTTCCACTGGAATGAATGCCTGGTGACTTCAGCCTTTGTTCCAACGCTATGGAATCAAAACCAGCTTAGCAAAGCACTGAGATGTAACATAAGTGTGTGGGGAGGGGGGGAGAGGAGAGAGACTGGATATAACTATCTGATCCGGCAGGATTCTCAGGCATTGGGGCTGCCAGCTTGGGCTCTATGTTACTACTAACTTTAATTTTACTTCTGAGATGGGAATCAAGAATTTAGAATGTTATAGCCCCCTTGATTCCAGCAAGTCTGAGGCACCAGGGATCCCTGTCCAGCCGCTGACTGTAGAGGGTGTAACAGTCTCATCTCGAGCCAAGCCAACTTTCTGCTCTTCGCTGAGCGGATCTCACGAAGGGACGCAGGAGGAAAGGTTACGAAGATGCTGCAAGCAGTTTGCTGCCTGCAGGACACCCCTTCTCAGGACACCGGTGACGTATTCCACCCTGGGGCAGAATCTCTATATCCCGGGTACTTAACAGGAAAACACCAACAAGAAAAACCTCCTCGCTCTCATTTTCAGCTGCAATAAAACGGCCGCTGGGTTCCATCCCCAGAGAGGCCTGTATTTCATGGCTGCACCACCGTCCAGTCACTTAGTGTTCATGAAGGGCTTCCAAAGCCCTGCCTCCTATTACTATGCTGAGCGCTTCTCTTCGTTATGCTGAATGCTCATCTCTCTCAAGAACCATCCTCACTACCGGAGGCCGATTTCAGCCAGAGCCAGCATGGAAGCCCCCATTCCAAATCTACCCACTTTCTCCTGGAGGAAGATTCATCTGGCACACCAGAGCAGCAAGTACTCACCCGGTCTCCCTTGATGCCCATGTCACCTTTGAAGCCAGGGAAGCCATCTTCACCCTGTACAAGAGGCAGAGAAAACACAGATGATTGTCCTGACACAAGCCCAATATGCAAAGTGCTAAGCTGGGTTCTGAGCGAGGGAAATAAATTATTTTACCCCCTTTCCCCCCCCCCCCCCAATTCACCAGCTGGAGCAGAGCTGTCAATTTGTGAATCCTTCCACAGCTTTCTATCACTCTTCCAGTGCTGGAAACACCCCTTCCCTCACCCACCATGTCACCGCGTCTCACTTCCCTCCATGGCAGCATGAAGGCAGCCTTGGTGAAACTCTGAACCGGGGGCACAATGCTCGTGTATTTCCATTGAGTCAGAGCATCGCCAGAACTGTGGGAGGGCAAGATGGGCTCACTAGTCCTCACGCCCACTGTATACACCTGTGCCCGGCTAGAGGGCTCCAGAGGTCTTCAGTGCACTCAATCGAAAATGTAAGAAAGATCCACGGTGAGGACAACATGTCCAGATAACACAGCCAAGCTGTAAGTGCTCAGGTTACTACCTCCGGGAGCAATCATATCAACAGACAACTGTAATCCCACTGGAATTACAAAGGCATGTTCTCCAACAAACCACACTTTGGCTCCCAGTAGAGATCAATACTGGCAAGAAAGTATTTTAAAGAATAACGGTTTATTTTACACCATCCTGCCAAGAAATCTCAAGGACAGCCGTAATATTTCTTCCAGCCAAGAAGGTTTAACTGCAGAACTCAAATCGATACTGTATCAACTCCTAGAGCAACACCAGGACCGACAAAAACACAGACACGGTAACCAAAAAATAACTCCGGGTTGTGGAAGGTCCCCTGTGGCTACCGCCTTGCCTCTAATTGCTAGCCCTGCTGCTGCTGCTGGACTATCAGATATGAGAAAAGAAAGTGGGGATATTTAGGACTGGAACAGCACAGCGATTCTGCATTTCCTGATATTGCTTTGGGAGACCACAGATATATCCCTGAAATAGAATCCACATTTTTTCTACGTACATTCTACTTTGTCAATTTCCTTCATTCCACAGATTGTACAAGCTGCTCCAATGACTGATCTAGGCAGTGTATTCCACACACTGTCTTCCCTGGGCTGGATTCTGATCTCTGTTCCCCAGACAGAAGTCACAACGAATTCCATTTACACCAGTGGAATTTCCGCTGGCTAACAACAAAACCAGAAGTCCGCTCCTGGGCAAAGGCTATAAGATGAGAGCTTGGGCAGCTGCCCAGGAGAAATTCAGGTGCCGCCCAGCTGACTGGCAGAGTGCCCACAGCTGGCAACATGTGTTTCTATTAGTGGTGCACATCTGCACATGGCTCAGTGCACATAACATTTATTCCACACATGGATGGAAAACATTAGAGGGAACATTGGATCCAACCCTGGCAATGCAGGTCTGCAAAACTGCACACACAGGCATGAGGGTAACTTACCTTTTCACCTTTAGTGCCCTTTAGGCCACGAACACCGTCTGCTCCCTTGGGGAGGGGGGGAAAACAGAAGCACATTAGAATGTTACACCTGCAAAGGCAAAGTATGCATATAGCCAGAGCTGGGGGAATCATTCACGACAGTGAATTTTGCCTCATTCGATCAGCAAATTGCCCTTATGCAGATTGTGATTGTCCTAAATGTGTTGGTGGTTTAAACTTATTTGCTGAATGATTTTCAGCCTGCAGCTCATTTGTAAATCCTTGCTACTCAACACTGGAGTGGATTGGATTGCACAGATGGGACACGTGCTATGTCTCCATTCCTAAATCGGATGAGTGTAAGTGTTGGAATCAAGTTTCCGGGGAGAACATTCATGATGGGAAGCTTAATGTCTGAAAAGATTTCCCAAAATAATCACTTCAAAATAGGCACTTTTCACCAAAATCTCCTGTCCAGTAAATCAAGATATTCGCTAAGCTCAAACGGGTTACAGACACTGCTGAAGTAAATTCATTTGAAATATGCTGAACATGCATTAACAACTTCTTCCTTTATGACGCTGTAGCATTCACCCAAAAAGTCTGCAGATTTCCTGATCCTTTTTTGGGGGGGTGACATTCACCTCCATTGTGCATTAACGGTAGGGGTGAATTTCACCCAAAGGAATCTCTACACTGCAGCTGGATATGTGCTTAGGAACAGGGGTAGACACACATTAGTTCCGCTCAACCTAGTGCACTAAAATTAGTGGGATTAGTACAGGCAGGAGCTTGGGCTAATTGCCTGCATGCAGACCTTCCCAGCATACTCGGGTGGCTAGCCTAGGCCACCTTGAAGCCCTGAACTCTACTATTATTAGCCTATTCACACATCTGTCTACCCACACTGGAAAGCGTGGTCTCCTCCGCATCCTCCAATAGGTCTGGACAGACATCACCCCACCACAGTCAAATGAAAACGTTCGGCACCATTTTAAAACCACCTCTTCACCTGTATCTAGATCAGCGCTCTTCTCCTTCATGCTTGACATTCGTGCCGTTTATTATGGCCATGATTTCGTAGAAAGGCATGATGAGGAGCGAACACTGGCTGGCTGGCTGGCTCTCCACGAAGACTCAGTTTGCCAAGTGCCCTCTTGTGGCAGAAACACATTATGCTCCCTGTCTAATAAACTCAGCACAGCCGTCCTCCCTCCACCGCCCAGCCGGCTTAGAAACCAGGATAAATCTTTAGCACAGCTAGGATCTAAAGCAGCATAATGGGCATAACCTATGATTGTCTCAGTGTGAAATGACATTGAATGGACACTCGGAAGCTCTCTGCTACTTAATCAGCTCCCAATAACTGAGACCCTTGGCACTAAATGGACAGCACAAAGAAGGTGTAATTTTCCCAAAGATATTACTAGTCTCAGGATTCAAGAGACACTGTCAAGTATTATCTAGCACGACTCTCCTTTCCCTGCAGTTGACTTGTCTCCTTGTTTTCTATTATCCTGTACTCAGTACCTAAGCCATTAAGTCTAATCGAAAAGCTGCTGACACCAAGATCCATGACTCAGAGTCGGGAAAGTGTGTGTGGGGGGGACATTAGAGATTGGAAATGAAAACATGCAGCAAATATAAAGTTAAAACCAGAAGGCGAAACCATGAAGCCTTGGAGTGCCTGCCTATTATTAATGCATCACCGCCGTTACCAATTACATTAATGCAGGTCCACAACCCCATTTTCTGAACCAGTGGTCCTGTACTGAATAAGTAGAGGTAAGGGGAACAGAACTATAGAATGAGATGACTGATTGTCTGGGAGAGGGGCTACAATCTAGGAAGAATGCCTAGGAAAACTGGAGAACAGAGTGCTGTCACGCTGGACCGGAGCTGTGGACTGGCTGCCCGTGCCAATTCATCTGATGAAGTGGGTTTTACCCACGAAAGCTTGTGCCCTAATAAAACTGTTCGTCTGTAAGGTGCCACTGGACTCCCCATTATTTTTGCAGATACAGACTAACACCGCGTCCCCCCTGAGACTGCATCATGTGCCCAACAGTGGCTGCTACCAACTGGTTCACAAGCAGATGAAGGAAACCCTGAAATAGGCAGTTAAGGAATAACCTGCGCCTGGGGAAATTTTATTTTCCTAACCTCTATCACTTAGGGCATGTTGACACTATGTGGAAGATCGACACTGCCACAGTCGATCTTCCGGAGTTCGATTTAGCTGGTCTAGTAAAGACATGCTAAATTGAACTCAGAGGGCACCTCTGTTGGCACCATTACTCCTGCTTCTCACACGGAGTGAGGGAAGCCGACGGGGTGTTTGCTCCCATCAGCCTCCCACTCTGTGGACGGCGTGGAAACGCATGTAAGATATGTCAACTCCTGCTACGTAATTTATGTAGCTGGAGCTACTTATCTTGCTTCGACCTTCTGCTTTAGTGAAGACCAAGCCTTTGAGAAGTTAGTTTCTGTCTTGAAGTAGCGGTGAGGAGTCCTGTGGCACCTTAGGGTATGTCTACACTACCACCCTAGTTCGAACTAGGGTGGTAGTGTAGACATACCCTTAGAGACTAACTGAAGTGTAAGAGCATAAGCTTTCATGGGCAAAGACCACATGCATCTGACGAAATGGGTCTTTGCGCACGAAAGCTTATGCTCCTACACTTCAGTTAGTCTCTAAGGGTATGTCTACACTACCACCCTAGTTCGAACTAGGGTGGTAGTGTAGACATACCCTTAGAGACTAACTGAAGTGTAAGAGCATAAGCTTTCATGGGCAAAGACCACATGCATCTGACGAAATGGGTCTTTGCGCACGAAAGCTTATGCTCCTACACTTCAGTTAGTCTCTAAGGGTATGTCTACACTACCACCCTAGTTCGAACTAGGGTGGTAGTGTAGACATACCCTTAGAGACTAACTGAAGTGTAAGAGCATAAGCTTTCATGGGCAAAGACCACATGCATCTGACGAAATGGGTCTTTGCGCACGAAAGCTTATGCTCCTACACTTCAGTTAGTCTCTAAGGGTATGTCTACACTACCACCCTAGTTCGAACTAGGGTGGTAGTGTAGACATACCCTAAGGGGCCACAGGATTCCTTGCCGCTTTTGCAGATTCAGGCTAACACGGCTACCCCTCTGATACTGTCTTGAAGTAGGATTTCTACCCATGCCAACTTTTTGGATTTATTTATGCATGGATATTTGAATCAATCCACGCTAGGGCACTGAAGAGAATGAAAAGGGAAAGAATGAGTAGTGAGTCCAAAGAATATGCATCTCAGGAACATGATGTATTATTGCTAACTACCTGATTGACTGTGGCAACTAAAAGCCCTGGTTATGAACCAGGGTCCCATTGTGCTAGGTACGCTACAGAAAACAAAAGAGATGGTGAAAACACAAAAGAGCTTCCAATCCCAGTGTCTCATTGAGGGGGTTTCAAGCACATCCTTTACTTGTCCCTCCTACACACACATGCCTGTGGTAAGCATGGGATCCTGCGCACTACATACAGGGCACCACAGAGCCCAGCATGAACCAAGAATGTAGCCTGTGCCGTTTTTTGGTTTGTATGACAACCTCATTGTAGAGCTCCGCTGTGGCTGCGCACACCCTTCCCCCTTTCCTTTTGCTGTCCTGCACATGCATCCGAGGTTGGAATTTTTCCCTTCATTTATAATAGATTATTTAAGTACATACCAGATTAGTTTAGGTGTGCGTGGTCATGGCATGGGGCGAAAGCATAAAATGTTACAAGTTGACCCTCTGTAGGCCGGCGCTCTCTTCGTCGGCAACATCTGTGCTCTGGCATGATTTTAGTTGGCCAGATGTTCACTTATCATGTGTGTGGCCAAGTTTCCCACAGTCCCATAAAGTTTGTTTCCAGCCACCAGTCCTGGCTCTCAGTGTTCTGTGCTGTTATTTAGCTCTAATTGGCCCCCTAAGAGTCCAGTAAGCAGTGGAAGTATAGGTCATGTTGATACACAATATTGGCCTCCCATGATTAGGCAAATTCTCTTGACCCTCCAGTCGGGTCCCAAGGTGCTGGACTAGAGAGATTCAACCTGTGTAGCAGTGTGTACAGGAAATTTACACAGTGACTGCATGCATTACACCTAGGTCTAGCCGGTCCAACTGCTTCACACATCCCTGTCTGGCTGCTCACGCATGATAGCCTAAGGACATAGGAGGAGATGCTCCGGACCATAATGAAGTCTGAAAGCCTGCCCATACACAGCTGTAAATCATTGCTGTGATTTCACCTTTGGTCCAGCGTACTCACTGAGCTGCAGGGGATTGATCATGCTGTGTGTGTCTGTCGAGAGACTGGAGAGTATCAATATAGTAAGACAGTCAATACTAATGGATTTTGAGATCTCATTCTCAGTTGGCTGCTGTGGTTTCTTGCGGCTTGGAGACTGCATGATCTACTCTGAGTTCTGAGAACTTTGTGAGACAAATTCTACCCTTGAGAGCACAGGGCTCACCCGGAAAGGGGAAAGCCGGATACCAGGGACTGGCTGGAAGGGCAAGGCGGAACGTTTAAGGACTGAAGGGCAGGAAGGTGCCTTAAATCTGTGTCCCTTAGTGCTTGCTGCTGATAGCAGGGGAGGGTGTTAAAGATTCCAGAGGGGTAGCAGTGGTAACTCCATGTGGTCCTCACATTACAATAGGTACTTTCCTCTTCCGGTGCCCTCACCTCCTCATCACTGTTGGGGATGAGCCACATCCACATAGCACTGATGTCACACTTGCATCTCTGTACCCATTCCTTTTTTTTCTTTTATTTTCTCTGCATCTGAGGAAGTGAGTTGTATCTCATGACAGCTCATGCCCTAATGCGCTAAAAAATGTGTTAGTCTTTAAAGTGCCTCTGGACTCCTTGTGGTTTTTGGTGTTAAAGGTGTGACCATCACCTGAGACTGGCCAACCAACTCCCTTTGCCTATCATTCAAAGCACTGAATGATAGGCAAGCCCTTTCCTATTTCCTGCCTTGCTTAGGTAAAGTGTCAGAAGCTTCTGGCACACGGATTTTCCCTCAGGAAAAGCAGGCTGGGATTCCACCACAGGGAACACACATCTCACAGGTGTACTGTGCAATGGAACGCTCATATCCACAACAAGAGTTCCTTAATCGTGATTTTAATTTTGCCACAGATATATTTAATGTCCTCCCCCAGCCCACCCTGCATGCAAAAAAACACAACTGAATTCAAGTGCAGTGAATTCATACAGCAGGAGAGAATTCCGATCCAGGTGGACAAGATCTAATTATTTATGATGGCATGTCTCAAGAGAGGCCCTGTTCTCTGATTCTGAGAACTGAAGCCTTATTCAATTAATAGCACGCTGACTGAGGAAGCCGAAACATTTTTTGGTAAACACTAAGATTTGTGCAGACGACACACTTTCTCTGTATCAGCATAATGAGAAACAGTTCCACTTTAGCAGTAAGCATAATAGAAAATCATTCCTTAATGGACCACTAAGCCTCAATCTGCTGGGCTGAAAGACATGAGACGAAAACATGCTTTGGTTAAATAAATCTAGTTACATTTTTGGAAATGGAAGAGCGAGTGGCTTTGTGCTGCTGGAAAAATGTACGGAGGGCGTGAATCATTTTTCACTTCATCTTTCGCCTCTCATCCAGTATATATATCCACGAGCATGAACCCCTGCAGTTTCATATGAGGGGGGAAGCAATGTATAGATCAGCGGCAGAGTTAACAGATTTTGATGCAGGGCGCAAGAGTCAGACTGGCATGGGGCAGAAAATACCCACCAGCGTCTTATCAATGCATGCATATCGCAGAAACCAGGAGCAAGCTGAAGAGCTGCAATTCAATTCAGTGAAAGAACATGGGATGGGAGTTTAAATAACACTGCAGAGAAATCTCAGCTTCAAATCACATGGTTTCAGTGTGCTCTTGGGGCACAGACACATTGTGTTGTGTTTTAAAATTGGCTTGCTTGGTTTCACTGAACGGTCACTGCTTGTTCAGACCTTCACGTCCAGGATGAGATTTGTTTTGTTTTGCCGTTGCAAGTTGTGGTGATGGAACTGTGCCCTGTTCAGAGGGACTAAAAATCCATCTGAAGCTCTTCTAGAAAACAGCAGTTAGATTTCCACGGGCCTGAGGTGATACGTCAGGCCAAAGGAATTGATCAAATGATAAGTATGACTGAACACTAGTGCTTCGGTGGTTCTGCTAGACTCCCCAGTAAAACATCTGTTTCTTCTAGGCTCACATCTAGGTAACAGATCTGCCGTGGGAATCACCAGGGGTGAAAGTAAGCTGTACCCCAGTGTAGTGCACCAAATTGGCCGGCTGGCGGTGGGGCCTAAATCCAGTCCTCTTCCCCCCTCCCTCACCCAAAGTTGAGGCCGGCAGCTGGGACCCTGGCGTGCGGGGCCACCTGGAAAGCCCTGGGCATGTGGGGCAGGTAGAAAAGCCCCAGGAGCACAGGGCTGGCAGCAAGGACCCAGGTACATGGGCTCAGGAAGGAAAGTCCCAGGCATGTGAG